ACTTTATCTTGAGATGAAATTAAATTAAATCTATGATTCACAGACCAGCAAAGTTGTGCAGTAGGTACAAAACAAAGGGTGTTCCATTTTTTTCCAAATATCATGTAAGTAAATTGTATGCAAGCATTTACATTGAGAAGTTTCATTTATCAAAAATTAGATAATATTTAGGGATTATTCTATTTAAACTGAACCTGACAAAATGTGGGGTTGACCTATTATTTTACCACATTTTTCAACCATTCTAGTTTCAGCTCAAACTTTTAAGGTTTATCGATTTATAGATATCCAAGACTGAAAAGCAAAAGCGCCAATGCTTTTTCCATATTTTATGTATTCTTTATAGCTTAATCTTTGCATGCAAAGTACCCAAAATTTGGTGTGGACAGGTGTTACAGCTTAGCTTAAGTGGAAATGGTGTCTTCTGCAGGTCAACCAGCTCATAGAATGACTAACCTTTCTCAACATTTACAGTTTCTTCTCCTGGAACTCAGGCAAGATGGCATGCAACCAGCTTATCATATAATTTTCTTACATCATGCAGCTGATAAATGCCTACAACTTCAAGAAGTCATTTATAATTTATCTACATCTGACAAATGGCTGTAATTGTCAAATGATAATTATCCTGATTAATGATGTAATGAATAATTATAACGAAGTGTGAGGTTATTATCTTGGAGGCTTCATATATTTATCCTAACACAGTACAAAGCTTTTCAAATCAGAGGTGTTAAAGGAGCTATTACACCCATAAATGAAGTGAAATACAAAGCAATTTCCCAATAGGTAACAAAAGCCCAACATATGACTAATAACCTCTAATGAACAAGCTTATGCTTAATTAACATAATTTCTTGAGGCAGTATTTCAGTTTTATCATTTTCCTGGGAAACTTACTAAAGGCTATTTTAATACCCATCTTTCTTCATATCAATATCAACCAAAAAAGAATATTCCCCTCAAATAACATCTTTATCACTCATAGGTTTTGCGTTTGGTCAGGGCTTTTAGTAATGCTCCCATGTGAACAAATCATGCTAAAAAAAATACAGCAATGGATTGAAATATGCTGTTGAAAAGACAACTTTGATGTATTTTCCTCTCTCATGTAAGACTATTAGTCACATAAAAAGAAGCCAGACAAGTGTTTTTTGACTATTGATTTTTCTTTCGTGTCTCATCTCTCCTCCCAGCTGCTCCATCATACAGCCAATTTCTACAAGTCCTTAATGTATGTAAGGACATATGTTCCCACTATGAAAACACTATGATTCATAGAGGAACATATATTATAGACTAGCTGTAATCTCGCAAGGTGGTCTAAATCCAGACTAGAGCCAATAGCAGTAGAACAACAACCTGAACTTGTACTAGCCCTGTATACCTAAGGCCAAGTTATAGACAGTTAACAAGGCAGCAAAGCTGTCAAATGTACAGACAAAAAACAGGAAATAACTATGCACAAAATAGGCTACTGTCATTTGTGATGCAAAAGTACATTATGTGAATGATTGAATCTGACAAACTGCAATGATATGAGTTTATTTTNACCTAAGGCCAAGTTATAGACAGTTAAAAAGTCATAGTTTATAATCTCAAGTTTAAGAACACAAAATGCCCAGGTTTTACCAGTATTTAAATGTGATACCATGGCAACTTTTTACAAATATAAATAATGATAATGCATAAACGAAGGTAGAAGTGTCTACATCATATGCCACTTCCATCACAAACTACATTAGTGTACCAGGGCACCTCACATACTGATGCATACACTGAACCGGAAAGGCATAAAAATGATTAATGAAGTAATTGAGTAGTATACAATACATGCAATAACAAACGTATTGCACAAGCAGCTCTTTAGGCTCAGGCGAAATAAAAAATTGGGCCATGCTAAATGCAGTATTACCAACTAACAGAGAATTGACCTGCTATGGAATGCACAACTATACCCCCATTGTGACCCACTGTGTAAATCTTTCTTTGAACCAATGGTAAACCACTTCTGGCATTGTACCCCTCCACCTTTAAGACACTAATGACAGTATCAAACACAAGAAGAGCACATTAACAACAAATGAATATGAGCACGAGATCATATCTTGACTGTCCTCACTATATTAGCATCCAAGTAGATGATGATAAACTACCCATTCAACATAAAACATTTAAGTGCTCTGTGTATTTCCATGTATTCAACAAGGTAAAACTGCTTTATTAGGCCCACATACAAATAATTAATTTTCTTTAAAATTCAAACATTTATGAATATTCCTAAATACTGCACAGTGGCTATGATATAGAAACCTTAAGCAAGGTCTGAAGGACAGGGTGCCCACACCCCATCTAATAACCCAGTATTGTGACTACAAAGTTTAAAGAATACATATCACATAAATTATGGTAATGTTTTCAGATAGTATGACAAATGGTTTAAGCTGCAGTAACATTTCATCAGTTTACCTGTCCATTCATTTGATTGCCTGACATCTCTGCTGACAAGCTGCTACCTCTAGATAAAGCTGTGCACCTTCCAAGGTACTTCTTAACAACTGACACTGGGTTAAGTCAATGAACACTTTAAATAGGTCAAAACTGTTTAATGCGGTCATAGCAAATCTGGCACAACACTATACTTAGCGGCAGAGATCAAAGCTTTCATTTTTTTCTATTTTTCTTTTTCATTTTACCCTCTTTCTTAAAAGTAAATAGATCTGACTTTTTTAATTTTTTTTTCATTTTCATGAAATGTCAATTATAACCCTACAATCATATCAATATGAAATGAAACCTCGCAACAAAACTTTCATATAAAATATTTCATTTGTAAACCTAAAATAATTTTCTTAATTATTTCCTTTCAAATTCTTTAATTTTTAAAAATTCTCCCTTAATGTTACAAAAATACACATAAATGTAATTATCCTAAAAAATTCAATGCAAAATATATTATACAATAAGGGTGCCCCTATGTCTTACCCTGACCATCCTGAAACAGCAGAAGGCATCAATGAATGTACAACTCTCTTTATTCACAGCATCAAGCTGAAACATTATAATTGGCAGGACTTGAAATGCCAAAATAAGATAGCAATTAGTTAAAAGGATCTCTTGTCAAAAATAAATGTTATTTTTCATCTGATGAAGAGCTCAAATGACCAAGATAGCCTGTAAGCAGACCCTTCCTTACAGCGACTTAGCCTTTAATATAATCATTATGACCTTTAGGATATACATGATTTCATATTTAA